CGCTGTTCGCCACACCCCAGCTATCCCCAGCTGCTCACCTTGGCTTTGGAACTAAACAGAACTAGACTAGACTTGCCTCCACCAACCCCCCAGCGCAACCAGGGGCAGCTTCAACACCCAGCTCTCTGCAGCCGCCCCTCTGCGCCGTGTGGCAGAACCGCCCCCATACGGCATCGGCGGTTCGCCGCCCTCCCGTAGACCATCAGTCGGGACTGGTTGGGATCCAAGGTTTGCCACACATCGAGTGAACATGATGGATGAGGATGGATGATGTATCGCGAAATACCGTCACCCTATTGTGATTGTGACTTTCAAGATCTTTCAAAATGCATCTGGCCAGTCAATACACGCCAATCGTGCACTGACATCTCTTTCGGCACTGACATCTCTTTCCGTGACTGACAAGCCTGGAACACCTGGAACCCTGAATACCCTGACTGCATCTGACTGCTGATCTGCAAGCCTGTTGCAGCTCCATGGCATGTTGTAGGATGCTCTCCATCTGTCCCCACCTGAGCTTCATCGATTTGTCCGTTGCGGAACGTTCGGACCTGTGGTCTCGGAAGCGGGTTGGACCATAGGGGGCAGGACACGTGGAGGCACGTTCTGGCGGTTTTGACGCGAATGGCTTGATTTGAAAAACACACAAATTGAATGGCTTGATCCAATGAACAATTTCACACACGAGTTCTTTCCATCCTTTTTCCAGGTGCCTCAGCCGTCAACAGGTGATCTCCTCTTCCGAACTCGAATGGTCCCGGAAATGGCCGGCAGACTTGGCAAGTACAACCTGCAGAAGCCCCCGGACCAAGAGACCGTCGAGTTGAGAAGCGTCACGCGAGAGACCGCCGTCTGAGACCATCAGAACGGTGACCGGTCGGTGGGGACGACAGCAGCGTGTGGAGACTCCCTGAGACTCCGGCTCCTCGCTTTGGAGATGTGGCCTGCCGATCATGGAACGTTGTTTTCTCTCTCGTTCCTCCGAAAAATATGCAAACAATTCTGAGAACCCCAAAAAATCAAGTCAATGGCACTGAGAATGACTTCATGGATCTTCGTGACCTTCCATCTCTTTTCTTTGCTCCTACAGTATGTTCTTTGGGTGTTGAACCAGGGCACCTGATCGAACCCGGCCTGGCTTCATCCTCCAGGAACGTGGGCCTTGCACCCAAAATGATTGCATCTTCCATGATGTCACTTTTCAACATGACTTCCGCATACGAATCCAAACAACATGAAACAACCAGAATGATCTTACACGGCTTCGGGCTGCCAATTCTCGAATGCTTTGGGGCGCCTCGTCACCTGCCATGCGTTCGCGGTCGCTGCGGCGGCCAACACGTGGAGGCGCCTGAGATGACATCAACTAGAGGAGTTCCACAGCCCCATCCCATATGTACCGCTAGTTCGGGTCCCAGTTCAGGTCTCCACCACTCTTGGGAAACATGAAGAGTTCCGTCAATGAGTTCTAGTCTTACCATCTACCAAAAGTCAACATATGAACCAACACCAATATCTGTTCGTTGACATCTGTCAACCCATGTCAGTGACACTTTGAGGGTATACATTGTTGGGTAACATCTCTCTATATATAGTCTATGTCTACTTCTATGTCTATATCTAAATCTTCCTTGTTGGAGTCACCATGCTGTTCTTGCGCGACATACGACAATTCTTCCACATGCGTCAGCTGGTTTCTCAGCAAAATGCGAGCAACAGGCTGTGGAGCCAAAACACACGGAAACAAACTACTAGCATCTACTAGCACTCTCTTCTACGACATAGATTCCATCAGGTCCACCAGGATCACCAAAGTGTCTTGGCCGTGGCTATATTTTCTGATCAATTTGCCAAGTTGCTCTTCTGCTTGAACGGTCTCCTCCTGCCCGGCAGCTGCTAAGAGAGCTTCTTGCTCCCTGAGCGGGTAGGAGTGTGGCATGTGATGTGTGTTGAGTGTGGAGTGCCGATTCCAGCAAACTGACGTGGCACGTGGGAAGACGAGCCTCTCATGGGACAGCCTGTCGGACCGACCGACGGATCGATCCTGGGCTTTGAAGACCCACAGGGCCGGTGGCTGTGGGCTCTGAATGCACGGAAACCCTGGGCTTAATCAAAGGTTGTGGGCGAACCATTGCCATTTAAACGAGTGTTTGAAGCAATGAACCATTAGAGGAGGGGAGATACTGTTACCCTTTTTCGACAATGTCAATCCAGCCTAGATAGTCGATTTGGAGATCCCTGTTTTGATCCGTGGTCCGCCGCGGGGGCGCAAAAAAAAAACCGCCAGCGGCATCCGACCGGTGACGAACCGGACGTCTCCAACGTGATCGTCTCGATCCATGGATCGCGCGTGCGCTTTCGAGCGTCTCGGGCTCCTACAACTCGCGCGCGTCTCGCCATCTCCTTCCAAGGTGCTCTCGCAGGCGCGCATACTTCTTCCCGATCGCTGGCTTCAGGGCCATGAGCTATCCAAAGCGTTTCTTTTCGAGCCCTGCTGACACCTGAGATTTCTTCAGCTCTATAAGGCCCTACTGAATCCAGTGCCGTTGCTGAGCTCATGATCCACTGAGCGAAGACTGGTGACCTATGCCGATGATTCCAAGGCCTGTAGCCTGCTAATGCCAAGAAGAACAACAAGTGGGCAGGACTCAGTGTTGCTTGTTCAGCATGAGCTTGAAAGCTGAGTCTAGTTACATGCGGTTGCGACGGCTTCGCGAGGTTTTTTTTGGGGGGAGCCAATCCTTGTTTTTGCGTGGACGGTCATGCCCAACATTTTCTCCTCCTAGGGAGCCAAATGGCTTTCCGGTGGTCACATTTCCGGTGCCATTTCCGCGCTCCACGAAGTCGTCTTAGGGTGAATGCTGCAACTGGTGTTGGGGTCGATGCCAATCCTCCCGGTGTTTTGCCGGAACCCCGCAGCGCTGCGACCAGCGCTGCGAACGACCATGTTGACCTGGATCATGTTGACCTGTCAGCATCTTGGAAGTTGAACAAGCAATACTTCTTAGTAATTCTCATTTGGTGTATGCGCTTGGTCATTCCCTCCGCTTGCTACGAGAGTCTTGAGTCTTGACATCAAACTTGGATGTTGGACTCCATGATCAACCGAACGATTAGCTGGATTACGTCTCACCCACCATCTGGACAAAGAACTAACCTGCAATGTAACTTGGACCGACGTGGATTCACAAAAATAGATTTGCACAAACATGTCTGCCTCTCTAGATAGATGTTTGCCTAGCATCCCAAAAGGAGCTTCCACCAATTCCGTGAGGCCACCGTGTATCATATTGTGCTATCCCAGCCCAGCCAGAAATGAACCAAGCACCGTCTTCAGGTACCAGTATGAAGGAAACAAACGACATACGCGATCCAAAGGGCTTTTACCACGGCCTCCTGTGCTTTTACTCCCAAGGCCGTGGTGTCTCTTCAAAAGAACTGCTTTGCTGTCCAACCATTGGAGCAACTACCAAAATTAACTTTATCCAACAACATGAATTACTCACAACTACTTAGTTACTAAGTTGTTGGAGACAAGCCATGCGATGCCACTTTGGTTTGACATTGATCCATTCTTCTATGTCAATGAAGCTATTCCAAAAGGATTAACAACGGGTAGTGAGCATGGAATTTCTGGCAGAGTTTAAGTTTGGCTCGGTTTTCAAATACCCCAAAAAGCAAATTCAAGATACTAGAAGCCTGAAACTAGCCTGTCAGGAAAAATACGTTGACAAGTACTGCCTGGGTAACTCCAAAATATGCAAGACAACCACTGAATCTCCAAGGTATATATCAAATGTATCTCTTCACGTTTCAGAGTGAACAAGAGGAATCCAAAACATCACAACATATACATCTAATTCCAAACAAACTTTACATGATCTCACATTATATCAGGAATAATCACCTCCTGTTAATCTCACATATTCAAAAAAACACAGAGCCAGCTTCAATGAGAATTAAACTATAGTACTGTATATAGTATACAATGCCGATGCCTCGTGTGAAGCTTTCTTGAAGAAGAACTGGAAAACAACCTGTTCTCGAGTGGGACACTTTAAACAAGATATTTCTATATCCCCCAAAAAACTCTCCGTCTGAAATCATGGTAGCTGAGGACCTCCGAAAGCGGGGTCCGGAAGCGGTGTCTGACCCACAGCCTCGGCCACGGATTCGACTGCGCTGCTTCAGTCACAATGAATCCAAGGACTGTCCTCTGCTTTGCAAGGACTCCATGCCACATCCTCGTGGGGCCCAGAAACCTCGAACTTCTCCAACTTTTGTTCTTACAACTTGAAGCAGGAGATATGCCAATGTTTGTTTTTAAATGGTCTTTGTAGAGTCATACAAATCACCTTCCTCTTTGATCCTCCTTCAATGATGCTTTCCATTCTCCGAGGTCGAGGTTTTTCGGATTTTTGCTCAGAGGTCAAGTCCGGCATCCTCCGGCAGCATCTGAGATGTTCGGTCTGGGCCAATCGCCATCCCCGTTTCCCGCCGTTCCGTGGCCGCCTCGTTCCCGCCGCCGGTCCCAAGCAGAGCCCACCGTGTTTCCAGGCGGAGCATCTGTCGGTCATTCGCGGCCGGACACGGACGGAGCGTGGCAACAGCGGAGTTCTTTCGGCAACAGCGGACCCGACCCGTTCGACCCGGGTGAACGGACTCGTTTTGTTGGTTCTTTTCGTTGGTTCCAATGCACCTGGAAAGCTAAATCAAGGCGAAGTTACTTGTACTATCTGACTTGTACTACTAAAGAATCTGACATACAAGCAAGAGTTGCGTCCTGCTCTTGAACGCTCTTGCTATTGAAGTGCACAACTTGTGCAAAGAAATTGCCGCATTACAGAAGATTCGACATGACAGCTGAAAGAAGCCTGGTAACAAAGTGACACCCAAAGAGAACGTACGAAAGCACCGTGTTGTCGAAAGATTCAGCACGTGTCTCTGTTTGACCTATTGGACTACTGTACTGAACTTGTCACAAAAGAATTTACTTTCCTACCAGTCTTCTCCAGGGCTTCTTCTGCCGCCGTGTCCGCGGACACTACTACGCCGTGATCTCCACCCCCATGCGTCCAAAGCCCTTCACCAGGTCCTTCGGAGGCAGAAGCGTCTCGAATGAACAAAGACCACCTGAGACCCAATGGTTTGGTGGTTTGGCTTCAAGACGGCCCTAGCCTTGGGGTGTCGAATCATGTTTTTTTAAGGTACAGCCTGGCCTTGTCCTTGACAAGCTGAATCTACTCTCTCTTACTGTAGCCGCTCTAGAAGATGACGGTCAGGCCGCCTTTTTAGCCACTCTCTGCAGTCCAAGTGACTAAGTGGGTCCTTTCTTGCTCAAGTCAATCTACCAAATGCCTCTAGTTTGCAGGTTTGAGGGTTCTGATTTTCTCCCCGGCCAAGCAACAAAGCTAACCCAACTTTGCGTGTCAACTCTCTTGTTAAACCCTTTCATCAAACATATCCTGTATATAATCATTCTGATTTAAAACCCTTTCATCAAACATATTCTGTATACAATCATTCTCATTTTAAAACCCTTTCATCAAAAATATCCTGTATACAATGATTCTGATTTTAAAACCCGTTCATCAAACAGATTATGTATACACTCATTCTGATGTTAGAACCCTTTCAGATCAAAAATATACTGTATATAGACTCATTCTGATTTTAAAACCCTTTCATCAAAATATCATGTATATAGACTCATTCATTCTGATTTTAAAACCCTTTCATCAAAATATTCTGTATACAATCATTCCGATTTTAAAACACTTTCATCAAACATATCCTGTATAGAATCATGTTGATTTTAAAACCTTTCATCAAATATCCTGTATACAATCATTCTGGTTTCAAACCTTATCCTGTATACAATCATTCTGACGTTAAAACCCTTTCATCAAACATATCCTGTATACAATCATTCTGATTTTAAATACAATCATCCTGATTTTAAAACCCGTTCATCAAACATATCCTGTATAGAATCATGTTGATTTTAAAACCTTTCATCACAAATATCCTGTATACAATCATTCTGATTATACAACCCTTTCATCAAAAACATCCTGTATACAATCATTCTGATGTTAAAACCTTTCATCAAACATATTAAATGCAATCATTCTGATTTTTAACACCCTTTCATCAAACATATCATACAATCATTCTGCCCATGTCCCATGTGCCAGAAATCAAGCCCCAGTATGCGCCAGCTCTTCCTCTTCATCTGCCCAGTATGCCCCAGCCATGCACCATCGGTCGGTCCTGTAGATTGGGGTGTCTCTGCCTGGCCATGGTGGACCAAACCAAATCTTCCCCCACGTAGATCTCAAACCTCAGAGGATCGGTTTGTGAACCGAGGATCTCGAGGACCTCGGAGGATCTCGAGGAAGGTTCGCTTGATTCACTATATATATATATACGGTTTGCTTGATTAACTAGGCATACATATGTGTCCATCCATACTAGGCTTTTCTGTCTTTCTTTCTCTTAGAAGCCAACATCATCCAACTGAAGAAGATTGGAAGTCATCCTACCCATGAGAAGCCTTATCTGAATACGGCTGCGGGCCATCCATCTTCCATGCTGTTCCCGGAACGGGTGACCAGAGGCACTCAACAAAGGCATCCCACGGCATCGGTTGACATGTCCAATGCATGTCCCAAGCATAGGAGGGAGAGGCGCTTCATTAAAAAGCATAAATGCGTGATTAGGATCAAAAAGGATCACAAAGCCCCACAAGCCTGAGGGTCTCAACATGCCTCTCCCAATTTGCAGCTTCAGCGCCGAAAAACACCGTCCTCTCCGGCCCGGGACCAACCGACGACGGACGTCTCTCTCGCAACCAAAGTCCTCGAGTTCAACCGCGAAGCGGCGGAATTGACTCGCTCGGTTTGGGGCCCCCGGACGCATTGGTCTTTGTGAGGGCTTGGGCCACCATGTTGGTCCTCGGCACACGGCACTTGGACCATGGAGGTGGGGGAAGCATTGATTCAACGTATGATGTGACGTGACTGTAGGGATTGACCGTGCAACACATTGACAGCACTATAATTTAATATATACATATAATCATATAATTATATATATACATATACAGTATATATAAGTATATGGATGTATATGGCGGCTTGTGTTGAACATTCTCAAACATGAGTTGCAAAGACTTTTGTTGTGACCAGGGCTTGACAGTGCAAAACACTCAGTTGCATGTGTGGAACATTGAGCCAAAGATGCGTTGCAGGAGATATTGATATACCAGCAGTCATGAAGGGGTGCTTAATGCAGGTTGGGTGCCCAGAACATCCACTCACTTAGGGACTAAACACCACCCCTTTGTCACTCCTGGTAGGCAAACACAATCTTTCCTGTATCATCCTTGCAACTTCCTACTAACATCAGCTCTGGACCGAAACTGTGGACCGAAACTGGGACCTGTATGGACCTGTCAAACCGTTATTCACAGCGGTTCATTGGACCAGTTGACATGGGTCTTTTTGGTCGAAAAAAGACACCACACCTGACCGGCCAGGCGTGTCAAGGCGGTGGCGGTGGCGCACAGCAAACTGCAAAAGCGGTCTCAGGTACAAACACCATAAAGATGAGGAAAACGGCCGACATCTTGTTCTCACGCACCTCACGGAGCAAAAGCGGTCAAGGGTTTGTTGGATTGCCGGAATGGATAGAACCATCTGTGTGAGAACACCTTGTGGGAACTGTGGGAAGCACTGGAAGTTTGAGAATGCAAGACGCAAGCCGTGTAACATTAAACCTCCATTTGACTGAATCAATTTCAAACCACCCATCATTCAAAGCTCCGAGCACTTTTGGTCAACCTTGCATCGCGGCTTCCTACTACGGCGTCAGGCTTTGCTACTCTCCGCTTCACCCCATTGGTGGCGGTGGCATGTTGGGCGGCATGCCGGACCGCACTGGAGGGGCGCCGGCCCCCGGCCCGCCGCCCCCGCCCGGCGTGTCCTTGATCGGACGGTTGGCGGCAATGAGCCGCTCGGCGGCACTGCCGTGGCGCTCTCCTTTGGTCTCCTTCTTGTAGGCATAGGACACGCTGATGGGTCTGTTACACAGGAACTGCCCATTCATGCCGGCCAGCGCGGCGTCGGATGCCTCAAAGGTATCATAGGAGATGAAGCCGAAACCACGGGACAAGCCGTTGTCAGGGTCACGCATCACCTTGGCAAAAAGCAAGACTCCAAAGGCAGAGAAGGTGTCGTACAACATCTTCTCGTCCACCTCAGGCTCTAAATTGCCGATGAAGAGGTTGGCACCAACCTCATTGGTTTTCTTGTCTTGTGAAGACTTGTTACACCGAATTGGCTTCCCAAAAAGCCTGATCATGTTCATGATCTTGATGGCATAGTCGGCATCCTCTTCGTTCTTGAACTCGACAAAACCATATCCTTGATGAGTGTTGGTGATCTTGTCACGAGGGAGATGCAAATTGGCCACTGGACCACAATTCACCATGAGCTCCCACAAGACTTCCTCATCGATCTTGGGATCCAAGTTGCCCACATAGATCGTTGCCTCTTGGTTTCGTTCAAAGATTTGCTGGATGCCTCCAGGGCCTCCAGGCCCTCCGCCCGGTGGCCCTCCAGCCATGATGCCCGGGCCCTCACCGGGCTCGCCTCCTGAGAAGACCCGTCCGTCTCAACAGAGCCGAAAACAGGGATGACGCGGGCAAACAACCTGGTCATTTTGGCATGGCAAAACAGCCAAATCCAAGGTCAGAAACAGGAGACCGACTGGTTGACCTACCCAGGTTAAGCGACCCGGGATTGGGGCTCCAGGTTTTGACTGATCCCCACAGGAACATCATGGAACAAGGAAGATGTCAATCTATGTCTAGGCTACGAACGAGTGACTTCAACTCAGTCCAACCAAAGCGTTTGCTCATCGCTAGACTGGCCGGACCCAAGCTCCAAACTTGCTCTGGAAGGATATCTGACACAGCAAGCACAAGGCCTCAGGCAGTGCGGCTCCACCCCAAACGGCTGGGGTGCTGCGCAAAGAATCATCTCCAAATCCATCATGGCTGGGGACACATCGGGACACCATGATTGGGAAACAGATTTCAATAGGAAGGTCTCCGACCAATGGGTAGACTATGGTAGACTGGTCTAGTTCCCTTTTTCCACAGGGTCTTTGGGGGGTCTCCCAATTTAAAGACGCACTCACATGACTGGTATGTCTCAAGCTCGTCAAGGTTGGGTTCAGCTGTATGGCCCAATTCAACCGTCTTTCTACTTCGGCCTGTCGCACCGGTTCCGTGGCCGCCACGTCCGTCCCACCGTGCCTTCTCGTCTTCACTCGACGGTCCGTCTCCACCGATCGACCCATCGACACATCGACCGGCCTATGAGGAAGATTTGCATCCAACTCACCTCAGCGGTGACCAACCACGGCGCCTCCGGCGTCCAAAGACGCGGACGCGTCTGACGAGGGAACGGTGCGGAGGACGACGCATGTCAGGGCATGTTTCGGGCGCAGTCTCCATTTGAGCAAACGATAGGGAATCTGCAATTCCACATGACAGTGCAGAGGAAAGAACATCTGTGGAACGAAAGAGACATCGGCTGTTGTTGCGGGGAGCGTGATTTGAAACAGTCAATAAATCCCCGCATACTCTTCTGCATGAAGAAGTCTCGAAGAGAAGATCCTATTCTGAAGGAGCGCCATCTCTCGAACTGCTCCAGGAAAAGTCTTCAGCCAAGATGCAATACTGGAATAAAACCTCAGATGTGTTTTTGGCAGTCCTTTCATTGTTCCCAAAGCTCCACAGGAGGAAAAAATACTTATAGTAACTCATAATGTGTATAGATACTATATATATATATATATTATACATATCACATGTACAATTAACAAATACAGTAGATATCTGCAAATAAAATAGACACACACACAAAACAAATAATACAATGATGCAGTATGTCCTTATATCTCTTGGTACGGCAGGTGGTGAACGTCGACTCGCAGCCACAACTTTGCGCCACGGCTCTATACTTCCAAAAAAAATACGCAAAAACGCATATGCATCGATCAAAACATTGTTTGGAGCTGGGAACGACAGCTGCAAAGGATGAAGAGAGATACTTCAGTGAATAAAGCTGAACAAAAACAAGACAGGAACTGATAATTCGGAGCTAAACGTTTAGCCCATTGACTGGACCCAATCGGCGACGGGACCGATGGGTCGGTCCCCCGGGTGGACCACCGTGGACACGAGAACATTCTCGGGCCCAAGGAGAACAAAGACTGCTCATCACATGCATCACAACAAGTGGCAAATGGGATTTTGCCTGAAAAGGCCCACAAAACCCAAACCAACACAGCAAGTCAACCAGAAAACGTTTGAACCATGAAAAATATGCAAAAGCAAGGCCCAGTGGCTGAAACAAGGCTGGTGCAGGATACGGTGCAGGCTGCACCCTCAGAGGAGCTGACGCTCGCGTGTGAATCAGCTGGGCGATCCTCAGGCCAAATTCAGTGGATCATCCCAAACACTCCATGTAGTTGTATAGTATGTTAAAGACACAAATATAAGTAAAGACACACATACTCCACTATTATAAGACACTCTATGTATGTAATTAATAAATATAAGACACACACACAAATATAAGTATGTATACTATATACTTACATACTAACCCCCCATCTACCACATGTTTCAACCACCCCCAAATGAAGATGGAAAAATATGCCCCAAATCTATGGACCAATGGAGTGTACAATGGGTGGAGACCAGATCAGAACGCAGAAGCCGAAGCTGCTTCGTTCTGCTTCCCATGTTGAAGGCTGAAACAGAACCGCTTGCGTAGGGAACAAGTGCAATGCACCTGATTGCGTTTCACCTGAGTCGATTGAAACATGAAGGACACACGTCCACAACCAAAAGGATCTCAATATATACTTGATATCTTAAGATGCGAAGCCCAAGAGACTGATTGAACAGCCCATTTGTTCCTGTCGGGATAGGTTTGCACGCGATGCACGCGATGAAGCAAGGGCTGTCGTTTGAAAGGTGGTGTAGTCGACGATAGAGCAGTGAACTCAGAACAAAACCCCGAAGGTCTCTCCTGCTACAAAACCCGAACATCGAAAGGGCGACAACATTGACGTGTCATTGGAGATTCCGCTACTTGTGACAAAGCCGTGCTTCCTGCTAGTCTGCAACTCCCTTGCTTCAACACAAACCCAGCTAATCCTATGGTTTTGCATATGCAATGATGGTGATATATACATGAACCCATTTTTTGACATGTCAAACGTCAAACATTAAATAGTATGATGAAAGAATGGCAAATCCACCTTTTCATGTGCGTCAGTCACTGGAGACTGAACGTCACACAAGTCGTGAGTCATGAAACACAGAACCTCAATGGTGCTTCACCTTGATTAATAACCCCCCATATGAAAAGGCTTTTCAATCCAAATTAAGGGTTAAAACATCAAGAGTCTACCGTCTACCTATCAGTTGAATGCGTATGAACCTGCCCACAACTCACATTGGCTCGTACAGGCCTCAGCTCTGGCAAAATTGAATGGTACACACCTCAGCTTCCGGAAGGTAAGGCCCGTGGGGGGTCGCCGTCTCACTGCAGTTCTTCACGATATGTTAGAAGAAGAATGAAATCCGAAGACCCAGCTCATACGAAGGAACAAAAAGCTATTAGGAACAAGTAGCCCATAACCCTAGTAGGTTCTTGTTCCAGCACGTACGACTTTCCGTCCATTTTGTTGATTTGCCGCATCCGGCGATCAATCCGAACCAACCCGAAACGGAGGCGATCGCTGTTCGCTGTTCGCTGTTCGCTCAGGCCATGGGCGTTGTTGGGCACCTCTGGTGGAGGGACCACGTGCTTTTCGAAGAGAGAGTCCTTAGGAGAGAACGTCCGACGCTCGTCTTCTCCCGTACGGAGCGTGACACCATGTGGGGTGACACCGACACCATGAAAAACCTGTCTTAAGGGAGCGTTTGCTTTTTGTATATATCTTGTATTTAGTTGAATTCAAAACATGTGACTTCAACAAATATACGTTCTTGCTTTCACCACTCGCTTTGTTTTTAGTCTTCAAATGTCTTCAAATGTCTTCAGTACATTCGTATTATCGGTGCAAAAACGCGTCTGCCAGCAAGCGTTCCCAGCACTGGCGGAACATTCTGTGCTCCCGGGCGGACCAACGCCGGAGGCCGATTTCTTGCCTCAAAAGGACACGTCGTGGATGTTGGAATGCATCTTTCTTTTGAAAAGGGTCGGTCTGACGGTATGGCCATGTGTCACCTCTGACGAGGGAACGTGGATATGCTGAAAGTTAGGCCATCTGTCCAAAACTGTCTGATAACATATTCGAATGTTCCAATTTCGCTCCCGAATGCGCTGTTTCATTCAAGCGCTGTTAAACATGTCCAAACGGCTTCTATTTGGAATGTGGGATGATATGGGTGTGTATTTTAATAGGGAGATCCCCAACCGGTATACCGCTTGGGCTTCTTCGCCTTCCGCAACCGCTTTTCTTGTGGCATCCCCCCAAAAAGAATTGTCCAGGGGGTCTTGGGGAGGTCTCCCTGTTTTATTGACACACACACTGACATTGGTTTTCTCAGAACCCTTAGGGACAGGGTTTGACACACACACACACGTCTTTTTTGTTCCCTGAGTTGAGTTGAAAAACAGTGGGACTCGATGAGACTTCTACCAGCCACTGGGACGACGATTGAGAACACGACAACATATGACATATGACAACGGTACAAGCGTTTCTTCAGCTGATGTCAAACGATGACAGGGCAAAAACCACCACGGAAATGCCAACCAACACAGGCCACAAACAAAGATAGCCTGGTCCTTTCCCATATTCCTTTTGGAGCAGTCGAGAAACCAATGCTCTACTCCCAGGTGATTCCAGGTCTCCCAACGCCCCCTGGACCACGCTCATGGTGGTGGCCAAGGCCAAGGCCGCCAGGACCTGTCAGGACAGAAATACGGAGGTCAGGAACGAGCAACTCGCCTGTCCGAACCTGCTTATGTTGTCTCTTTTGTATATGTTCTTGCTTGTGTAGCTGCTTGGATTAGCTTGCTGGAGGGATGACTCTGGGAATTGATCTTGCCTGTCAACTATGGGAGCCAAACTGAACTGTTCATGGAATCCAACGAGTCAGTTTTCTGTCCCACCAACCAGAAAAAAAACATATTCAGTGGCGTCTTTGTTATGGCCCAGAACATGAAATCCAAGCATGCAAGTCGTCCATGTCTGACCTACCAAACGAGCAAGCTCTCACACTAGTGCAAAACCCAACCTTTTTCAATTTGGAGGACCGTCATGACCTTGAAGACTGGTGACAAGCTTCGATTCTTGGTGCGGACTCTTGGTGCTTCGAGTGTTGTTTGCCCAATGTGTCTGTGGTCTGTGGTCTTGTACAAGTGGCTTGCTACGCTTTGACCAACAAAATTGTTTCCGAGTCAAACAGGTCTATTTTGGTCATTACCGACCGTTTTTTCCTGTCAAAACCCATATATATATATAAAGACACCCGAAAGCACTGGCCTCAACGCTCTTTACAAGTTGAGCCCCCACCAAAGCGCCCCACTGGCTGGCGCCCCCACCAGCCCAACCAGCTGTGCTGGGGATGCCTCCTGATGGTGTCGGGAAGGTGTGGACATCTTGAAAAGGGATCCGACCTCTGTTGTGAGACGGACGCTCCTTCTTTTCTTGGGGCAAACGGCCCCCATGTTTTAGGAGAAGAACGTCGCCGGGGAGCGTTTTTGCTTTTTGGTTCGCTGGTGGCAAATGGAATGAAGTGGATCAGGACCTGCATTAGCACTGCAAGTATCAAACTGCAAAGACCCCGGATCTTGCTCCAGTCCGCAGTCCTTCACAGGCGGCGGTGCCTTCTTCACTTCCTTGCTGGGTTCCTGGAATCACCCGAAACTTGATACCCAGGTCGCAAAGGATGAAACAACATGAAAAAACGACTGGTAGGGGCATGACTCTACCCCCCGAGGGTTCATGGTTTGAGGAAATTCCATCCCCCGTGGAAAAAGTTGCTCCAAAACTCAGCGGATCCAAAGGTGCGAAGTTCATGAGAGTTCTAAGTTTTCCTATGACACAAGTGGTGGGACGACCACTGGTCGCGGGTGACGTCTTCGGAACGACCAGTGGTGACGTCTTCCCTGGTCGACCGCTGATGGGACTAGCCAATCTGCAAAGTCATGAAAGATTAGGTGCATTATCATACCACAACCCTTGCAGCATCCAATGATATTCAGGCTCAATTTCATATATAGTTGTGATCATTACAAAACGTCCTATATAGGTAGATCTCCATTCGTCTCAGCCATTCAACACCACCACATCAAAGCCAACTCATGTTCTGTGCCAATTTGATTGAAAACAATTGAACCGTGTCGACATGAGCAGTACTTCGCCATACTTCGCCTGTCCCTCCTTCTTCACTTTGGCCACTTCTTCCTGAACAGCCGGAACCCCCAAAACCAAGAAGTTTTTGCCCCCCAACCTGGCGAAGAAACCTCCTCTGGTGACGAATCAACGGACCAACAATCCGATACAAAACATCAGCGCGAAAACGACAAGAAAACAGGGTCGATGACCTCACCAAAGGCGCCAACACGGACCAACCCAAGGGTGGCGCTGCCAGGGACCATGACCATTTCAGCTTGACCTGACGTCACTTGATGAGAATTGATGATTTGAGCCGCGCTTCTTCCCAACCCCATCAAAAACAAACGACCACCGATGGAGTCGCATCAATCGCATCCATGCCTTCTCCTCTTTTTCCTTCTCGGGCACCTTGGATTCCTGGGAAGTTCATTGATGTTCTTTGTCAACTGCATATCGGTCACGGCCAAATGATGAGGAAACAACACAAAACACGGCACAACACACAAAGCTCCGCGGTTTCTTATAGTGCATCGAATCTACTAGCTTGGATTATCAGCACTATTCTGTTGTCTTCAGACCCTTACATCACTTGACACACTCATGGGTTTAGCGGTGCTGAGGCTCAACAACGAACCGTCGAACAAACAAAATCCGACCAAGTTACGATGTTCAGCTCCATGACTAGGATGCGTTTCAGTTTCTGTTTGATGCTTTGTTATTTTTTTCAATGGTTTGTACCGTATGTTTTTGTTATTTGTGTTCATTTGGCTCATGTTTTTTTTGGTCTGTGCCCTGCGATGCTTCGAAGCCGGCTCGCCGATCTACGCTTCCGCTCGGCGCCTGGCCTCCGCAGGTTCACTTTCCGGCTCCGCCATCGCCTGACAAATGGAGCCTCTGGGTCTTGGGTCTAAAGGTTAACCTAGACACTGGCCAGAACGCTGAAACAAATTGAAACAATATCTTTGAGCAATCAACTGGTAAATTTCTTTAAAAGCATGTCAGTATAGAAATGTATGTATGTATATATGTATATATTACAAATAGTACTATAAATAGTAATGTACTATATATGTGTTTATACATATATCATATATATCATATAATAGTAGCATGTGAAAGTGATTTGTTCTTTTCACATCCATATTTGTGATTTCTTTTGGACATGTTTGTTTGGCAGAGTAGCAGCCAGATTCTGGGCCGTGCACTTGATAGATAGACCATGATAGACCAATACCTTGTGGAGCAAATTTGGCCGAGTGTCATGTAGCCTGTTGATCAATTATACCACAGTCTACCTTTCCCTTGCCCTTCAGCTTGGAACTCCCACGAAGTCCAACCAGCACCCCGCGAGGAGCAGGTGAGAAATCGGCAAACCAAGCCAATGGCGCTGCGGTTTTTTTGAGATTTGAAGTCCTCATCGACATGCGGAAGTCTTACAGCTCAAAAAGATCGTCGGACACATGACAAAGATAACCACTGGTCAAACAACGGAATCGACGAAGCGACTAAGTCCTTTAATCTGGGGGCCTTGGTGATTTTTTGTGATACAAACTCGGAGCATCACTGGCTCTCATCCAATACTAGCTCCATGATGTGACCGACCGGCGTTTTTAGCGTTTTTAGGCAAAGCACGGCGTTGGCCAACTTCGGTGGTTGAATCTGCTTCGGCGGACTTCGCACGTCTCGACCCCCGAGAAAGGAACAAGTCGCTTTGGCTTGGTTTCCTAAAGAAAACATGGCTTCGATGCAAGGACCTTCAAAGTGACCGTCCTTGAGATCCAAGAATCAGGGTAATTACTGCGTTTCGTCAAGAATCCAGAGAGGTGAGGTTTGTTAGTGCCCGAAAAGGAAACTTAGAGACTCCAAAGAGGCCACTTTGAAGGTCCTGGTGATTGTTTGGGCCTGACATGTCATGTTTAGAAAATAACCACATATTGAGTTAGCAATCAAGTATGTGGTGTGTGCCCTTTGTATCAAAACTTCTGGGTGAGGTGAAACTTCAAATTCTTGTTTCCCTTTACAATATACTATTCACTTTCTTAACATAGAAACATCGCATGCGCAAACAAAACCCCTTTGCCAGCTTGACTTTTTGGGGAATTCGAGCAAGACTCAAAACGACAATGTCTAGGGTGGGTCCAGCCCGATCGAGTCCGAGTCCGGCTTCTGCGTTTCTCCGGCGTCGAGGTCAGCACCGACGGGTCATGACGGGTCTTTCAACTCGGCACAAACAGCGCTGGGATCCTGACCGTCTGACCGTCTGAGACGGTTTTCGATTGAAAGACAAAGAGGTGGTGGCAATCATTCACCTCACATGACTCACAATACAAATACATAGTTCAATTCTTTGCCCCTGTCCAACTGTGAATTAGGATCACTAGATCTGTTGAGATCAGGAAAATCAAGGGATCCATCTGATTCGATTGGATTTCTGTTGCGGGCTGTTTTCTGCAAGATGAGTGATTGCCGTCATGCAACCTACCATTTTCGAGGGATCCGCTCCAACGCATGTCAGGGTGCTTCACGGCGTCCACGGCCAAACGGCCAAGGGTTTTGGCACCCTTACGGCACTAGTAAGGCACCTGTTACTACTAGCGAGGCACCTGTTACTACTAGCGTGGCACCTGTTACTACTTGAAGTCGGAAATGCCAATGACCAAAAGAAACATCTGGACAACATCACCAAATAAGGCCATCAACATGAAGAAACACCTGCTCGTGGCCAAGATTCCTCCTTTGATCATGTTTTGTGTGTTTTATTCCGGAAAACGTGGGGGTGGATGGTTTGCGCTGGCCTTAGATGACCTTCGGACCTGAGACAAATAGAGGAATGACAAAAAACGTGGTTTAGGAAACACATGGGCGTCCTGTGCACCGTGTTTGTCATGTGCCATCTGTATCGTGGTTTCGTGAAACGGTGCACTCCTGATTCTTTGCGACATTGGATTCCTCAAAACACGTCAGTTTGTTGACATCCCGCCACCAAGGACAGGACATCATCTCTTGTAGATGACAGATTGTATACACATCTTCCTGAAACATATGCTTGGTGAGCAGGAATGACCAAACCAACCGACCATTCAAATTGATGCATTGACGCTTTGGATTGATTGCTGCGTGGAGGTGGACATGTCCAACATGTCGATTTTGTTGCGAATACCTAAGACCAGTGCAACATAGATAGATCTAACAAACTATATTGGCTGAGAATCATACTGCGAGAATGAATATAGTTGTCCAAGTCCAAACTCCTCCTTGCAACCCTTCGACGTGACGCTTGTTTTCTAGCCAACTCTGAATCAGCAGCAAAGTCACCTGCAAGAGACAACTTTTTTGATCCGTCCTGCCCCCCCCCCCCTTAGGGGGGCCATAAATGGCCATCAATCGTGGACCGGATTGGCAAACACATGGTCGGCGAGCAAAAGGCACACCATTGCTGCACGTCTTCATTCAACTTCATCTCCATACCGTTCTCCTACACACCTTCAAACACCTTGATACCGTGGTTCATCTTTTTCCGTGCAAAACGCATTGACGTCTTCGGGTCGGGTCAGTTCAGGTGTTCAGCTTCTTCCTCCACAGCATGACCCACCGGGTGCGACTCCTGAGACAGCTTTGCTCAGCCCAACATGTGTGCTCATTGTATTTGTAATATGTATATATATACACATGTATATATATATATATGTAATATAGATCTAATATATGTACAAGGAGATGCAAACAAATTATAACAAATTATCTGACATGAACCCGCACCAAGAATAATCACAGCAACATGGAGCATACCCTGATACAACATAGGGGTCACTCAGGTTCTGGGTGTTGTGTACACTCTCCTCTCATCAAACGTGCTCCGACCGAACCCGAGTGTGAATGTTTTGATTCACGCCCAGGTTCCAGGTCGCGGCTGTCGATGCTGCCACTGGCGCCGCAGGAATCACCACTCAAGGGACTCGAATCGGATTCTGCATCCCTGCGGGTTGCACCTGACGCTCTGGGAAAAAAAACACTTGGATTTTCTGAGATTACTGTTTTTGGAGATGTCTAACCAAAGCACTGCTTCACTCAAACACCTGTTGTTTGTAGTTTGTAGCACTTTTCATCACTTTTCAATGAAGAGTTGAAGCACTTGTTGTTGCTTTGAAACTTTGAACACGTTTTTAAGATTTCTCCGCATGTTGGAACAATTTGGAATGGTTGTATGGCCTTTGTTCCAGCTTTGGACCATCAAATTCCATCATTGTCAATGCACAGGCCAGGAAGGTTCTCATCCATCAGGCCATATCAGGGCTAAAGTGTGTGAACATGTGTGCACTTCACTTCTGCAATTTGACGGAGGTCAAACAAGCGCGTTTTGTTTGCGCAGCATCCCCAGTTAAACTGACACCCGCGATTTGCGGGCAAATTCCGGCAAAATGGTTGCAAACTTATTTAAACAATGTTGGTATGAGTTTCCATTTGCTTGCAGCAATGGCCTGGGCATGTGAGGGATTTGCTGAAGGTTCAGCAGCTCCTATAGAGACACGTTGGTTTGGCGTCAGCCGAGCAGCGTTAAGTCCTACAAGTGGCCTGAGAGAAACAACAGCTATAGAGAGGGAGTTCCTTCTTTACCTGGCTCCGAGTTAGCAGCCGGGAAGGACATACTGTATTCTTTCACAATTTGTGGTTCTTTGAGGTTTTGTAGCGCTGTTTGTTTCTGTAAAAGTATTTCCTGTATCGTACGAAGGTTTATATACATATGAGTAGCAAGTGGAGCTGAAATTGTCAAAAACATATTGTTTTCTTGGAACGACACTCTCTAAACCAATATTTTGCCGTAGTCTTCTGGAACTTCTTCTAGATAGGTTTTGTGAGAGCCAAGAAAAACAAAGTGCAAACACACAAGCACACTCTGACACTCTGACACTTGTATTCAGCGACTCAATTTCCACGATGGGAAGGATGGCGGTGGAACGGCATGGTGATTGGGTCAGATCACTTGAAATGTTTAACGTAGTTTCTCTCGTTCTGCTGAACAAACGCTGCACATCTGCGGACGATCGGCGGCTCAGCTGCTGGGGAAGAGTGGGTTTGTGGGAGGTATCATGAATCACCATGGAAACAAAAAAGGAAGATTGGACAGCGTGATCAACAGTTGTAAGTGCAGGTACAGGAATGTGCGTCCACATTCCCTTCCGGCTGAATCCCATAGCTTCGTTGGCATGGCTAGGGAAACAGCTGCCATGCCCCCTGCTCATGTAAAGTGGTTGTCCAAGGTAGGTGAAAAGCATGGAAAGAGTGGTGGCGGAAGACCCTTTGTCCAGGGGTGGACACACACAAGTCGCCGCGTTCGGCGCTTTTTTCAAAAACCGGTGGCAGGCGTGATAGTTATGCCCCTTTTGGACATATAGATTCACGAGTTCAGCCGCAGCAGCGTCAGCGCTGGAGGGTGGAAATGTGTATTTTCGAATGGTGTGAAGTCGTGATTGGAGGCCTGATAGAGCCAAGCGCTGGCTCCCGGCAGTGGTGGAATCCCGGATTTTCCAGGGTTGAGAGGGTTGCATGTAGGTGATGGTGCGTTGTGGGAGGTCGATGTTGAAACCGAGGAGATGAAAGTCCTCCACCGGTTCTAGTTCCACAGGGTCGCCAAAGAAATTGTGGTGGATGAGGGTTTGGATAGCCGGGCGTTGAAGGAAATGTTCGTTGTGGACAATGAAACGGTTGTCGACATAGCGATAGTAAGTAAAGTGGAGGTCTGTGTGTTGGAGGAGGTTGTTGTGGATCTGATGCCAGGAATGCTCAATGAGGGTGATGGCAACGTTGCATAGGGCTGGAGAGAGCTGGGATCCAATCCCGGCCCCTCGGATTTGTTTGTAGGTATTGTTGCAGGCCCGGAAAAAGCATGTGTTGAGGGCAAAAGCCACGATGGTGGTAATGTCGGAAGTCTGGATGGTGCGTTGGGTGGGGTGTTTGCGATGGTGTCTGCCAATGTGTGAGTGGTGGAAAGGATTGCCGGTGGCCTGGACATCCACCGTCAAGGTGTGTGGGTTGCTGTTGTTGCCAGTGGTGGACAAGGGAGTGAACTGCATCGATGAGTCGGTGCTGTGGGACTGAGTTGAAGAAGCCGACCAGGTCATCGTTGGTGGCGTGTAGTGAGATGTCTGGTGGGGTTTGGGTGAGGTAGCTGTGAAAGTGGTGCCAAAGCTGGGGAATGGACATTTGGCCGGGATGTTGAGGGTAGAGGTGTTGGAGGATGATGTCAAGGGCACGGCTGGTAATGCGAAGCAGGTTGCCACTGAGTGATTGAAAGTATGAAATAATTGTACGGCCTTTTTGCCAGTGCTTCTTCTCCTTGAGGTGGACAACGCCGTAGGGAATGTTGAAGTCTTTTCGGAAGCCCCACTTGTAGCGAGTGCGCAAAATGGGGGGGACAGTGGCGGCCAGGTGGTCGTGGATATTGGCGGCAGTGATGTAGGGAAGTGGTTCGAAAAGTTCGGGGGATTGCCAGGTATTCAAGGCGCCAGTGAAATATTGGCGAGGGCAAAACAGCCGGAGTTGTTGGAGCTCATGGTCGGCATGGTGGAGTAATGTGTGTTTGCCAAGATGTTCTTGGAGTTGGCGAAGCAGGCGAGCCGTAAAACGGGGTTGCTGCTTGAGGTGTGTGTTGTGGAGGCGCCATTGGTGCTCAAGGAATGGCTGCAAATGCTGAGCGAGGGATGGTGGAAGCCCTTGTAGTTTGAGCCATTTTGTGTAGGCCGTCTTGAATTTGAGGAAGTATCGGGCCTTGCTTGGGTAGTAGGTGCTGTTCATATTGGCGTTGAGAAAAATGCCGAGGTGTGTAGGGAGTTGGAGTTGATCCAGTGTAAGAATGTAGTGGCCGTTGATGGTGGGGGTATCGGGATCCTGCAAGAGGGTGCGAAGGTGATCGCATGCGCAGGGGAGGTCTGCTGGATCTGGCGGGGAGTGGAGGGTGTCCTCCCATGTGCGGTGGTTATGCAGGTGGGAACGGAGGGTTTTGTGTGCGGCTTCTCTCAGTCTGTGGGAGGGGAGGTGGAGGGGGATGGTGAAATGCTTGTGCTGCTGGATGGTGGTACGAAGCCATTGCTGGCAGTGCTTAGTGAAGTCGTCGTGGGCCAAGAAGGGCACTGTCAATGGAATATTTGGTTTTGGCGGTGTGAGGTTGCGGTAGATCAGGGCTTTGTCGAGGATGTGGAGAGCTCGGCTGCGGCCAGGTTCTTCCAGGTTTGCGGCCATTCGCCGGATTGCATAGACTTCGAGGTCGGTGTGGCGGCCGCTTCGTAGCTCTTTGGCTGCTTCAAAGGAGGCTGCGGTGTGTTTGGTAAGGTTGCGAAGAAGTTGGAGGGCGTGATGCTTGGTGGAGGTGTATAGGTGTGGTTCTCTGAGAGTGTACTGGCGTTGCCGAAGGCGTCTGAAAAGTCGTTTGTGGGTGGCCAATCTGGAGTAGAAGTGGGCTCTGTGTTTTGTGAATTGCCAGCCCTGAGCTTTGAGCTTGAGGTGGTGGGAAATGAAAGGCCAGTTGAGGGAAGGCATCCAGTTAGCGATGTAGTGGTGCTCTTGGATCCAGGCCTGGTCATGTGTGTCATGGGAGGTAAGTTGAATGGTGGTGTAGTGGTGGATGTTGTTGTGTGAATGCCAATAACGTAAGGAGAGTTCTGCAGAAATGGGAATGTTGTTTTGGAGTTGTTTGAGTTTGGCGCGGCGATTGTGCTCGCGGTGGGGGATGCCAATAGCTGTGGAGCCAACATAGAAGTGGCCATGTTGATGGTAGCAGCGTTGGGGCTGGTCGGGATTGAAGTGGAGTTTGATGTAGACTGAATTGGAGGAGAGGAAGTTGTGGTAGTGGTAGGTGTGGGGCAAAATGTGGAGCTGGCGGAGACGGTTGCGCCATTGTTGTGAGCGACGGGTGTTGGAAGGGTATGCAAAAAGGAGGGTGATGTGGATAAGGCCGGTTGCAAAAATGGCCTCGGCGCGGTCGATGTATTGGGTGCGGTGAATGAGCATAGAGAGTGCTCGGTGCAAGTGGAAGAGTTGGGTGAGGTTGGTGTGGCTGGGTTGCTGCTGGGCAAGGATGGCGAGTCAGCAACCGATGGCTGCTCCAACACCCACCAGCTGTTGTAGGCTGCGAATGGGGAGTCGGTTGACTCGGTTGAGGGGTAGGCCATACTTTGTGGCTGCTTCTTTTAGCTGCTGCGTGGTGACTTTGCTTGTTTGCAGCAGACGGACGACGTCCTTGGCAGCGTCTTGGACGGTGGGGTCGAAAGTAGTGACCCATTGTTGGATCTCTGGGTGGTTCCAGCCTTCGGGGATATCGTCTTGCAGTGTGGGGTGTGGTGGTTGCAAGACGTCGGTGAGGGCTGGTGGTTTTGGTGGTGGTGGAGTGGGTGCATGGGATGGGGCGGCTGGTGCGGAGGGTCGGCTGGTGCTCTTGACTGGTGTGAGTGGGTTGCCCAGGTCTTGGAGTTTCTGACGTGCACGAGCCAGTTCGTCGTTGGTGTTTTTGAGGGCGCGTAGAGCGGTGCCTTCCGCAGGTGCTGGAGAGTGGGTTTGCAGTTGGTCGATAAGTAGTTTGATGAGGGGAGCGTGAAACGCTCGGGCATGGGTGGTTTTGTTGGGAATGTCTGTGCTCTGTTGGGTGTGGAGGGCCTCCGCGATGCCGTCAAGGTCAAGGCGCTTCTCACGGAGTTGTTGGAGAAAGTGGGTCACGAAAACCGACTCCGCTATGCTTCTGGTGGCAATAAAACCTGTGTATTTGCCGTTGCTCAGTGTACGGGCGGTGAACTCAGAGGTGCCGTGGTACGCCAGTTGCCACGGGAAAACCTCAAAGGTGGGGAGTCCTGCCACGCCTGCTTTTCGAGACCACTGGGTGGGTTGGATTGTACGATGTAGTTGGTGGCCGTGCAGCGTGTTGGAGTCCCAATGTTGCTCGGTTGGGTTCCACGAGTCGGGAATAGGTGGTGTGGGGGATGGGATGTGTGGGGGTGGTGGG